CAAACTTTGGCCCAAAGGTGCTGTTAGAAAGCCCTCAAGACACAAGGGGCTTGGGAGCACCTACGAAGCTCCAGGAATGCCGGAACTGCCCACGTCTTCGTTGGCCCAGCTTTGCTCGCACTTGGGAGCCCTGAGCCTGGGCAAAGGGCTTAGTCTTGTGGGGTACGTTGGGTTTACATCTACCGATCGACTGGTCTGCGGGCCGTTGCACATCCGTATCGTGAAGCGCAGTAGCTTCGCGCACTTGTCAATTGAAGCAACAGTTGTAGTTGTAGTCGTGACGGTGACGGCGATGCTGGTGGCTTGCCTGGAAGTGTCGAAGCGATTGTTGGCAGTGGTGGGCTCAGCAGCAGCAGTAGCAGCACCAGTAGCAGCAGTAGCAGTCACAGTAGCAGGAGCTGCCTGTAATCGCCTCCGTTGCCCTCTTAGCCGTCCTGTCCTGGTGGCACTTAGTTGGCCAAGGAATATGTTTCCGCAGCGTCTCACTGCGACCCTCGAGAACGTGCTCGCCGAACGGCTAATCCAGGAGCCGTTTCTGGACTCAAAGCCTGAGATGGTTCGGGAAGAAATCGAAAAACAAACCTGCACCCCCACCCCCTCGAGCCACAGGCTCCAGCCTTACCAGCAGACAAGAGAGAAAGGGAGCACAGCAACAGGCATCACGGCAATACTTAGTCAACAGCATAGTGCTATCAAAGCCTAGTGACGACAAAGTGCAGTAATGTACAACAACCCGATAAAACCCTGTAGATTCTCAGAAACCCTATAAACACCGTGTAAATCCGAATAGAACCCTAGTTTCAAAGGCTGGAGGCTGCCTCGGCGCTGAAACTCCTGCGCGCCTTTGGCCGACTGCGCTGGCGTGCTCCTGGAGTGCCTCCAATCGACACCGTGTCAAGAGTGATGCACATATCATGTGTATATACCATAATATGTGTGTGTGTGTGTATTTATATATGTATATATGTATGTTTATAGTAGGCATGTATGTATGTATGTATGTATGTATGTATGTATGTATGTATGTATGTATTATATACACATGTATCTCTCCCTCTATCTCTCTGTGATTGTGTGTGTGAAGCCCTGCTTCCAAGGGTCATAGAATTAAATAACGCAGGGGGCCAGGAACCAATGTCACCTGTCCTGGCCAATGAAGACCAGGTGATATTGGGGTGAAAACGCACCTGCAGAGGAGTGGGGACCTTGCCCTGGGCCCCTGCGAGGGCAGTTAAGAAAATAAATACAAAGATGTGAAGAAACGAAACTAGCCCGCTAACCTTTGGTATGACTTCGGTCATCTTGTGCGTCTGTGTGTGTGTGTGTGTGTCTGTATGTGTTTTTACCTCCAATTACACAGAATGCACGCGCATTTGCGCTTGCATGCATACTGCATGCGTGCACGCACACATACATAGATACATAGGCGCATAGATACATGCAAGGGCATATATGTAGAAACAAAGTCGTATTCAGCAATAACAGCAAAAGGGTCATATTTTTCAGCTTTATACACTCGTTCAGCAAACAACCAGTCAGGGATTGGGTTGTCAGCTGGTTAAAGCAAGACACAAGCTTTCGGAATTGTTGTGTGGTTTCAGGATATGATGTTATTGTATGCTTCGAGTCTTTGAGCACAGATGCTGGGTTTCGGTTCTCAAGACCTGACCTTGGATTGACTTCTGCAGTTCGCCGTGAGCATGCTGTAGTGTCTGTAGTGCTTTCATTTACTTGAGGGTTGTGCGTCGAATAAATGGGTGGCACTGCAATTCCAGAGTGCACATGGTGGAAACGAGATTTTATGAACGCGACAAGGGATTGAAGCGTGTGGAAACAATCCACTTCAAGCCGTCCTACCAGCTCGCCAGTCAATCTCATAGATTCTACGACTATACGAGTTCTTATGCACTCGTCAGGTGCTGGGCCCCGTGCTGGCGTGCCGTGGCGTGAGCTAGTATTCACTGATCTTGCTCTTGTCGCTTGACGAGTTGCTGTGCTTCGATGCACCTTCTGCAAAGCTGCGCCTTCCCTTTAGGGCCAACATGTTCACGGGGATGTTATCGATCAAAGATCACGCGATACTCCTTGCATCTGAAATTCTGGTCAAAAGCTTTGAATCAGAACCTCTTGTTTCAAAGTCCAGTCGCCCTGAAACTTCACAGCTTCGTTCTTCAGTCTTGTGCTCTTTCCCGCCAACCCGGAAGCACTGAAACCGCTCATGCACAGAGCTGGGATTCCATGGGCTTGAACTACCAGTTTCATAGACCCGAAAGCCCAGGCACCTCAAATCCTGAATCCATAAGAATCCCCAGCAGAAAGCAATCAAGGTGCCTGAAGAAGCCTACATCTATGGATGCCCTGGGCGGTGCCGCTCTGGGAAGCCTTCTCTACGAGTTGCGCAGCTGACACTAGCCCTGAAGTCTTCGGAGGGCTTTGATGCGCAGCAATTCCGAAAATGCACACTGTGGACGGGTTTCATGGTGCACTTCAGTCGGGACGGGCTTGCGATCCGTGGAGGTTGCTCGAGGGACACTTCTGCGGTCGGGTTCGCAGTCATCACATCGCGAATGTAGCACACCACACGAAGAAGTCGGCTTGCCTTATTACGGCCACGACGACAAACATTCGTATCTCTGTACCATCATCATCATCATCATCACTGTCGCTGCCTTTGTTTTTGTCTTCTGATTATCAGCCGTCTGTCAGCCCCTGCATCAAGAGCTTACTGAAAGAAGGCACGCAGCCAAGGCTATACAGGCTGGACATCTGGGACGAGGAAGCAGCCAGCGCGGCGTGCCAAAGGCACAGTTTGACTGCGGCTGCCTTTGATCTAGACTGACCAGCATTGCAAGCACAGGTTGAGGTCCGCAATCTGTTCGCCGGTCCCGAAGCCACACCAGGAAAAGCCGGCCTATACATTTCTAAAGGCGCCCAAACCCCAAGCTGTAGCCCAGGCTTGATTCAATCTCTGAAGGCTTCAAATGCTCAAACCAAACTAAAACTTGGGAGGCTTCGCGGTCCCCCACTGGACAGCGACCAGGACGACCCCCGGAATGACGCAGCTCGGCCAACAGCAGACCACAGACTCAAAACCCAAACCTACAGCCCAGCGCCGAACCCGCTCTGTCTATCCGCATGTGAGCCAATATTCGACAGGCCCTGCACATGGTGTCCTCGCTGCCCTGCAAGACGGCGGCCAACGTACTTCTTGCCATGAGCTACCCGGTCAAAAGTTGGAACCCCAGACCCTGCCCTTTGACCCAAAGGAGCCGTAGTCATCGTCGCACCGCATCTTAGCTTTATGCGTTTCTATGTCCTGGCACAGGGATGGGTGCTGGCGTTTCCGCTCCTCAGCCAATGTCTAACCCGCCAAACAGTCGAAGGCTACTTCGCGGTTCCGGACAAGGATCTCCACAGACGCCTCGTCCAGGCGTCCCCTTGATACAAAGCTCGTCGGCACTGAAGCATTGCTCGAAGTGCCTAAGGCCTATGCTCGAGATTGATCAAAGACATGACAACAATAGTAGCATCTACCATATTAGTACCATGTTGGACAGTTCCTCGCCTAGCCAGGAGCTTCTTCGTGCAAAGGACCTGCCTCAGGAAGCCATGTACCAGGCCAGTCTACGGTCTCAAGATCCGAGGGTCCTTCGTTATCTCCGCTATCTGCTCAAGACCACCAAAGCGTCCTTTCAATGGTGGCGGCTACCCCAACGTGTTGAAAAGACATGCAGCGCTAAACCCTGAAGCCTTGAACGGTAGACCTAAGCCCTGAAGCCCTAAGCTCGAAACTGACAGCAGTTCAGGCCCTAGGCAGGGAACCCCCGACTTCAGGTGAAGACTTTCGAGATGGCGATCCGCCCCCTGCCAGCCTTCAGACTTTTAAGGCTTCAGGTTCCGATCCTTTGGCCTAGGCTTTGGACTCCTGAGCCCAAAAGGAGATACCGCTCCGCCCAAGCGAAGTTCTCCCAGTCTCAGGTTTGGGCCACGCTGCAGTTTCTCTCCAGGACCGGGCGGGGCGGGGCTTGGATTTCTGCAGGGCACCGTTGGCAGGCAGAGTTGCTGTTGACTCGAGCACCTTGGATGACTGCAGGCTATTCTGAGTTGTAGTCAATGTCGTTACAGGTGTTTGCATACGCAGAGCCTTGAACTCGAGGGCCCCTCAACCTTCCCCTTCAACTCAGCAGATCGTTGAACTCCACGAGACGCCGAGCGCTTTCAGGACCTGGGCGGTCTGGCCGCGCGCTGGCTCTTCAGTGTGCGCGGCGCCGCGGGCGCACCGGAGATGCGGGGAGAGTCGGCCTTCGCAGATGAGGTTTCCCAGGTGGCGAGGCACCCGAGCTTCTGAGTTTCTGCAGGGTTTACTATAGCAGACTCTAGTATCGTATAGTATCATCTCATCTCGTGCTGTATATTTTCATCTTGTAAATAGCACACTCTACTGCAATCTAACATAGTGATAGCACAGTTTTTCGCGGGAACGACTGCGTGGGGCTTGGTGCGGGCTCGGCTGGTTTCTAGGTCTTGAGGTAGGCTTGGATATGCTCTGGGTTCCGGGAACCTGCATGTCGTCAGGCTCTAAGCAGCCTTGGCAAGAGGTTCCGGGTTTACGGTTTCGGATCTGGGGGTGCTCAAGACAAACTTTGCTAATCTCTGCAGAGCCAGGAACATCTCCTGGCACCACCGCGCGGAGGTGGAAGTGGGCCCGCCCAGTGGCTGCAGGAAATGATGTGATAAAAACGAAGCTACAGATCGAAGCGACACTTTGCCGAGGTTTTGGCGAAGAACTTCTGTTGTCCTACCTGTAGTTTCTAGCTTTGGGGCCTGGGGGTTTGGAGCTTGGAACTGTCAAAGTCTAAGTGCTTCCATCCTGGGCCAAGGTACATGCTCGACTTTGCTGCGGTGAGCACGGACGGGCATGACCAGGAGCGACACGCACGGAGCAACCTCGAAAGCGCCGACTCCTCTAAGCCCAACCGTATTGTCATGTTCCAACTTAAGATGTGCTGTTCGCGAGAACGCTAGTTCGCACAGGAGAACCCACCGGACGGCTGGGACGAGAACAAGCCTGGACGCTCGCTGGCTCGGTACTGCGTGGCTGTGGAGGTGCTCGGGTGATTTGCGACTTGATCCTGGCTCTGATTTGGCCTGCATTGCAGAGCATGAGCTTGGCTGGAGCCCCAAGCGCCAAGAAATGAACCTGGCATCTGGCAGGCGGATGGGCCCACGCACTTCTACAGGCTCCAATGGGGGAGGAAGTGCCGTCCACGTAGTCCTTCATGCAGCTTATCATTCCCAATCTTAATCTTTATTGTTGTTGTTATGGTTATTATTGTCCTTCTTGCTAAGATTAATATTGCATTGTCTTGATAGTCGCAAACCTCCACGCGACAGCCACAGCTCAAAGCCTGCACCCCTTGAGCGGTCTAAAGCTCACGAGCAGGCCGCACGGAAAGCCTTGGCATTGGACCTCCACCTCCAAACTCCGCCACCGCCTGCTGTCGGCCATGAGACCCTCTGCGATCTTTCAGGAAATGGAGGAAAATTGAAGGCCAGGAAACTTGCGGCTTCTGGCCCGGGCTCTAGATTGTATTTGCTGGCGGGATTTGTGGTCTGGAAGTTGGCGTTGACCGTGCGAGTTGAGTGAACTTGCATGGTGGTCCATCACCTTAGAGGCTTAGAATCCCTGTACAGATGCATCGCATCACAGGCGCCAAGACTAGCAAAAGAAAGCCAGTTCCGTCAGTCGACTAGGTCTGGGGTTGATCAGTTGCCTCGTCTGAGGAATCCGGGTGGCCCACGTGCCTTTCTTCGACTGGCTGCAGCTGGAAGGAACCTTGCTGCATAGCGGCTGAAGCTACCCTAAACCAACCAAATCAGCCTGACGCGGCACGGCAGCGCACAGCGCGGATGGACTTTTAACACAAACACGCTCGCACAGCGCAAGCGCACGCGCATGCGAGGATCATTGTCTGACCTGTGAGTCGCTTCTTGATAGAGACTCAAATGCCTTCAGTTTAAGGCCGAGCTTCCACAGTAGCACCGTGTAATGCAACCGTATATGGTCATTATAATTACTACGGTCATTGCGGGTTACAGTAATATTAATTTCTAGTAGCTCTCGGGATTGCAGCACTTGGAGGGTGCAACACAAAATCATGTCCCATTCAGGACCATCTCGATGCATGCCGGGCGAAACCTCGAAATACCCTCCAGCTTCACACGCCCTTGCAAGAACCGGCCCAATCAATGTTGACTTTCGACCCTGGGTCCTCTCACCAGGACTTGCCCAAAAGGAGGCCTACTTGACCGAACTGCTCCTCAAGGTGCACAGCAGCCCCTTCCCTTCACTGAAGCTCGAGGCCCCGGCAGGCGCGGGGTGAGCGGCTTCAAGTCTTGGAGGGCTCGAGAGTCGGGATCTGGGCACTCCAGGGATGTTGAGGCGCTGTTCGACCCGTTGCAGGCCGCGTAGAAGCTCATAAGCCAACATCTGACCAACCGGACCCGACTTGAGCTTGCCGTTCTGGTCCGTTGGTCGACGTGGTTCAGCGGCAGGCCGTCACATTTTAGTATCGAGAGGATTGTTCCACCCGGCCTGGATGTCTAACTTGGATGCAGTAGACACCGGTCATCGCTGCCATGAAGCGGTGCCGAAGCCAGAGGCTTTGGAAGCTAAAACTGTTATCTGCTTGGTTGAAAAGGAGGAAGCTGGCTTTGGGCTCGGATGTTCAAGCCGCGCCTCCGCTGCTGGTGCAGAACATTGGCACTGATCTGACTGACCTCCCAAGCTCCACCGAGGCTCCAAGTGGCGCACTGGCGGAGACTCAGCGGGTAAAGGAGAAGCCCAGTGAGATCATCCCCGACTGCAAGTACTGCGCAGATGAAGAAGTTCCTTGTCCCAAGCAAGAAGGCGACGGCCCCGATGTGGAACAGCTGAAGGCAGCTCAGGAGAGCAAGGAGAAGCTCTGTCCGCATCAGCCTGACCACAGTTTGCCTTCCCTTCTACAGCCGTTTTTCGTGGAGGTTCCGGGTCCAAGAAATTGCCTGAGATCAACTGTCCCCTTCTCCGCCTCTGGATGGACAGCAAAACCGACGTGCAACGCGAAGATCTCATCCGGTTGGGCTCTGCCAGCCCTCAGCCCAAAGCCAGCCAGCCCAGCAAAGCCCAGCTCAGGCACGCCACAACACAGCCGACAACGCAGCTCTGCCCAGCCAAGCCCTGCCCAGCCCCAGCCCGGCGCAGCACAGCCAGCTGCTTCAGTCCGTCTGCCCGAGGCGACATCAAAGTCGAAGGCATGGCCAGGAAGCCGCTACAGCCCTGCAAGCTTGGCTCCTCCTCCACCTCCGCCGAGTCTGGCACCGCCTCCACCCCCACCTCTGCCTCCGCCTCCACCTCCACCTCCGGCGCGCAAGTATGTCTTGGATGCTTTGAACATTTTAAACTACCGAAACGAGGCCGGTGAAGGCCCGCTAGAGTGGGACTTGCTCCACCTAGCCTCGAACCACTTCAGGCAGAGGGGCCATGACATCCTGATCTTCTGTCCGAAGCTTTCCAGAAGTCAATCCAATGCCGATGCCATGAGAGACCTGCATACGTGCTTCGGCTCGAAGTCTGTAGTCACCACTCCTTCCGGAAAAGATGACGATTCCTTCATGCTTTCGTTCGCGAAGCTTATGAAGGAGAAGAGCATTGAAGCTCGTATTGTGACGAATGACAGGTTCAGAGATTTCATTCAACGGGGTGTTCTGACGGAGTCGGAAGCCGACAAGCTGACCGTAAAGTACTGCTTTGCAGCTGGATGTTTCGTGCCTGAGGATCTGCACAAGTGAAAAAGTTGCAAGACTGTGGTCCGTATAACAACAGAACTTGACGAGTACGGGACAAGACGGACATGACGCTCTCACCATGGCTTCTTGTCCTGACTCGCATTGTTAGGGTGCTTCGTTCAGCGGTATTACAGCCGTCCTTCTCGACGGTATACAAACATGGTAAGCAGTATCGAGAGTAGTCGTGTATGTCGTGGTGCCCCTCGCAGGAGGAGTCGTGGAAGCAGTGATCAGGTAGAAGCAGCAAGCTCATAAATATCGGCGTGCTTGATGCAATCCTTGATTTTTTGAGGTGGTAGTCGTTCGTAATCGGGGTCGTTGTGGCACGGCTCGCAGCAGCACACCAGCAGTGGTGCTAGTGGAAGTGTACTTCTGCCAATCTTGATCGTTGTTCGTAGTAGTGGTGTTTGAAAGACTTTCTTGTTCTGAAGATGTCAGTATAGTAGTAGTGTGCGCATGGCAGTCGCAGTGACAGTAGCAGTAGAAGTGGCACCAGGGGTAGAAACAAAATAGTCCATCAATCCCGGTTCTTGAGCCATTCTAGGCCCTGAGCCCTCCTAAACTCTCAACCAAACTACTACGGAGTCTTGCTAAAAGCAGATCGGTAATTTTGGTTTTTGGCACACAGTAGGCTTCATGGCTTTGGGATTACTTGCACGTCCAGCTCATCAGAGGTCAGGGGTTGGGCAAATGAGAGTTGCCTTAAGCTCTCGACCATCCAAACTCGGCTTTTCTCGGGAGGTGCTGAGCCAACCGAGCCGCCCAATGCCAATGCGATTGGGGCGGAAAGGCGCAGACATCTTCCTGAAATGCTATGATCCATCTCTCTACCTTTGTTCTCAATCGTCTGTCATCCAGAGTGCTCGCTCATGGATGCCAGGACCAGAGGTAGCTACATCCGGCGGAAGGTCATCATGAGATCCCGAGCGCTTCAGGCACAGGCTGGTTAGGTGGCGAAGGCTTCAACGCTTGGGCTCATCGGAGGCATCCTTGTTCGCCTTGTTGCTCTTCGAGATCTGCTGCACTTGCCAGCCTGGGCTTAAGACATCCAGCGAAGCCGTGGCGATCTTTTGCAAGGGCATTGCTCTCCTGCAGATCCGCAGGAGGATCTGCGATGATAGGCCTCCAGTTCACCACGAAGGGCCGCCCGGAAGAAGAAGGGGCAAGCAAGGCATGGCGCTTCGCCACAAGACCTACCCCAAGGTGTGTCGGGCCCTGGAGCTGGCCCAGCATTGCAGGACTTGCAATGAAGCTGCACCCACCCTCAAGATTTCAACAGCTCCGCTGCGCCGGTAGTCCAAGTTACAGATCCGTTGGAGAAGCGGCGATGAGAGCCAAGAGGTAGCTGTGAGCTCATCAGGCCCTGTCAACGTACATGTCGAAAGCGTCAAGCTGGCGAAGAAAAGTGCTTAATATGCTTTCCGGCCCGGTGACGCATTCGACACAAGTGGCAGAGCTCTCTATCCGCATGCCCCGGAATCTGCTTTCAACAGACACTTACACAGTGATTAGCATTGCGCTTGTGCGTGAGCTTTTGAGAAGGCCTCGCGCACAATCCCGCAGCCCAGCCAAACTCCCGACTGTGAACCCACACTCAGTGTTGTGGTATCGTATGACCCTGCATATGATAGTGTATAGGACAGCAAGTGAAGGTAAGATCTCACAGATCAGCCGATCTGGCGAGCTCGCCGAGGTCGCCTCTTTTCAGAGGCATTCCAGTGGATCGACACCTGGCTTGACGAGCTGAAGGCCTTTTGGGGGTTTAGGGTTGGGGAGTTTAGGGTTCTTGGTTCGGGTTTAGGACGGGTTGAGTGTTGCTGGTGTGGGACACACGCAGGTCGCCCCAGTGGGAAAAACAAAGGCAAAGCACCCAAAACCCATTTCGAAAACAGCCAGTTCCTCGTGTGTGCCTGCAGGAGTCTTCAAACCCCAAGTCCCAAAAAGGCCCCAGAAGTATGCAAGATGCCTCCGCTGCCATTTCCTCTCGATTTGGGGTAGCCTCTTCTCAACGAGCTAAAAGCGCTTTTGCGCGGGCAAACCTCTCCGCGCATTTATCGCCCATCCTCTTCAACGATGCTTTGGGCCTCCTGCTGGCCTCTCGGCCTACGACTTTCAGGGAGCGGTCTGCGGGTAGTTGCCGTCGGCTGGCATGGAGTGTTGAAGTTGAGAACCTGGTTCTTCCACAATCTGTTTGATTCGATTTTCCGTCACTCCCGATAAGGCTTTTCTTGAGTTTGGTTAGGAAGTCCCGAAGCGGGAAATCCTGAGTCTGCAGTGACTCATTCAGCAGGCGGGATGGATATACGGCTCACGTGGTAGGTAGGAGGGTCCGGGCTTGAAGCCCAGGTCCACCACTCGATTTCAGAAGATGTCGACATGATTGACGGTAGTAGTGAAGTGCATCTTGCATGCTTCGGAATGCTCCGGCTTGTTGTCTGTTAGTTATGATCCCGACCAGACAGAAACCCAAACAAGAGAGTCTTCCGCTCTGAGGTATCTGGTACTCGCCTTTTTGCCGCAATCGCCGGGCCTGGATTCCCTGGACGCCTGCCCCTCCGGCACGGCTGCTGCTCGGCTTCGGGTTTGTTGTTCGGGGTTCGAGTTTGTTGAAGTGTCGGGTGGAGGGCTTCGGGAGTTGGCTTTCTGAACAGGGCGGAGCATTTCACAATCAGGTCCGAATGTTAGGGTGATTCTGCCTAGATGCCTGTTGGTCGAGCTGCTCTCGTAGGTATCGAACCAACTTCATGACTTCTTTGCCAGATCGTACTGTGCTCCTGAGAACAATGTAGAATCTTAAGTCTCAAGTCTTCAGATAAGATCCATCCGCAAATGGCACATCCCGGCCCAAAGACCTGGGATCGTGAGCTATACATTTCTGCGATTGGCGATTGGTCCAAGGAGTGCTATGCCAGAGTTACAGACGATCCCTACGAAGAGGACCTCTTCCTGCTGCAGCATTCTGCAGCTTCTCGTCAGGGATCTTGGCACAGGAACATGTGGGAGGCGGATGTGGCAGTACTACTCGGGAAGCATAGATGTCGGGAATAGACCTGTGCCTGCGTTGACCTTGTACTCGCGTTCTGCCTAGGTTGCACCTCAGCCCTGAGCATCCAATTCCAAAACGAGCGATAACAGGTGCATGTCCCACCTCCATGAATAATCGCCCTTCAAACGCCTAACTCGAAAGACTCAGGCTCGAAAGTCCCTGTTTTTTTTTAAAAACTCAGCTTCCCGACTTCAAGGCCGTGCGCGAGGCGGACGAGATCAATGCATCGAAGGCCGCCTTGCGGACCGTTGGCCCCGAGCCGGACTCGACAGAGGCAGCTCTTCAGAGCTAGCATGGCATAGTATTAGTAGTTAGTAGTAGTATTCGTATTAGTATTAATAGTAGTATTAGTGTCGCCATAGTATAGTATAGAATAGTACAGTACAGTATAGCATAGTATTTTATAGTATGGTATCGTATCATACAGTATCGCTTTTGTACATTATAGCACTTGCAGCATATGATTGATTATAGCTTGTTATCATTGTTATTCAGTATGGCATAGTATGGTATCGTATCGCATAGTATCGTTTTTGTATATTAGAGTACTTGCAGCATATGATTGATTATAGTTTCTTCTTCTTTTTATTGCTTTGATAATAATTGTTTTTTGATAATAGTTTTATGATGATAGTAGTATTGACTATTTTTATGATAATTATTTTTATCATGCTGATAATACAAATTTGTTGCTATCAATTGTCATTCTTATTAATTACCGTTATTATTATTATTATTATTATTATTATTATTTTTATTTATTGTTATTATTATTTTGATAATAATAACCATTATCATTATGATAATACTAATTATTATTATTATTACTATCTTTATTCTGATAATAACTAATATTATGATCATAGTATTAATTCTTCTTCTTCTTCTATTTATTATCATTTAATATAATAAGACAAATAAATAAACATATATATATATATATACAGTATATTGTAGTATAGCGTAGCTCTGCGAACTCCCAACTCCCGGAAATCCGCGTTTTTTTCGAAGATGCCTTGTGGGCACCCCCCAGCTCGAAGTCTTCAATGCCGGCTAAGGGGCCCCTCGTGCGGCTCCTGCACCTGATAACATCGAATCTTGGGCATTTTTGACGAGACTTTCTGTAGCTTTCCTTAGGGTTTAGGCTTCGGGGTTTAGGGTTTGTGCCGTTTCGGGTTCAGGGTCTAGAGGGATCGGAAGCTTCAGTTATTGGCCAAGGATCCGTCATCGCGCGGCCGCCCGCTGGGGCTGGGGATCCTCAGATCCCAAGCCGCCCTCACCAGACGCTCTGCGGCAGATCCAACGAAGAGCGACCAGGGCAGATGAAGAGAGACGCAGTTTTCGTATCATCGGCTCTCCGAATCCAGGCTAGGCCCCGGCCCTGACCCCGAAGCCTTGAACCCGAAATCCTATGCGTCGCTCCAAGGAAGAGGAGTGCACCTCAGGAGCCCGAGAAGTTGAGGGTCCTGGGCTTCTGGGACAGGGTTGGTCTTCGAGGGCATTGGGGCCCTCAGGGTAAGGATCCGGCATCTGGGGGTTCTGGCTTGGGGTTTGCAGACGGAAGTCTTGTTGAGCAGCCGGGGCTCGCGCTTACAAGGACCGGAAGAATGCAATCGCTGAATCCTTGCAACGGTGAGCCTTCTTTTCGATGCAGTCAACCCCCGTTTCTTTAGCCACGGCTCTTTCTAGGTGTCGAAACCGAAAGCAGACAGCTGCGTTCGAGAGACCAACTCCAGAGCCTTATGCAGGGACCGTTCCATGACACTTTCGCTGGTAAGGAAGTGGCTCTTGTTCTTATTCCTAGCTTTGTTGTTCAGTGGTTCGATCTTCTTGTTCCATCTTGCTGTGTGCCTCCGAAGGTGGGAAGGATGTTAGCCTGCCAGGACTTTTCTTCAAGTATTCGGACGTCAAGCTAGAGGAAAATCTGGAAGCTACCTTCAGTCTCCACTCTCATGGAGCAGACTGCAGCAGCAATAGCGCTTTCGGCCCCAACGAGTGCTGCCTACAGTTGCTTGGCCTGCCTTCGGAACATGGCACCAGCACAGCCGGAGAGCTTGCAGCAGCAATTGCAAGAAGAAGAATCAACTCAATGTCGAAGTAATTTGCCTCGACAACACGTGCAGCTTCTGCTGCATGCACCACATCTCGAAGATAAGGTTCGGGACTGACATTGGCGTAACCATCCAGGCTGTTCTCCCACAGAATCTTACCAAGGATGCGGCGACTCGGAGTGCTCTTGGAAACTTGAAGTCGTGGTTGATGCGACCCTAGCGAGCCAACAATGTCAACAGTTCAGCCTGTTGACTTGAGGGTTCTTTGGTTTTGAAGTTTTTCGAATTGTGTACCACAGGTTGTATGGCAAAACGAAATTTCAGAGGTGTCCCGGTTCTGCAGTGGTGACATTGAACCAGGTAATGCATACGCGCGTCTCAGCCTGGTATGGATGGATCCCGCTCTGGGACTCAATGAGCTGCAAAATCTGCGGTGAGCCCTGCAGAGCTTGCCCCTCCATCAGCCAGTACTTGCCTTCCCTGCCTCTCAGCGCTTCTTGTGTTCGCTGTCTAGGCTTTGGGGAAGTTAGGAAGTCGGGTTCAGGAAACTGGGGCCGTGGCAGAAGCAACTCTGCACCCATCCAAGGTTTCCATGCGAGCCCACGCCCATGCCGGACTGCCCGATCCCGGCCGGATCGGTGACAAATTCGGCCAATGTGACGCTACCGCTGGATGTACAACAGAAAGCCAAAGGAAGTAAGGCGACGGTCACATACTCCCTAACACGTGCTGACGGATCCGTCGTGACCTCTGGCGAAGTCTTCGGCAAGGTGTCGTAGCCGCCCAAGCGACGATCCGTCCTGCCGTTGCCGGCTACTTGTCTGCCGTGGCTGGCTACAGCCCAGATGATGACCGAATGGAGGAAAAAGAGCAGGATGTGCGTGGAATCAGTGGCTCAAGACCAGAGCCCGGCCCAAACTCGAGCTACCGTTTTTTGGTCGGATGCAGCATCTAGGAAAGAATTATTGATGAAGTTTCGAACTACGCCTACATGAGCTTTCACGGCTGCTCGTCCAGCTCTCAGCTACTTCCATGTCTTGACGCAGTGACTCTGAAACTAAATCGAAGTAGGGAAGATTCCAAAAACAGCTTTTCGGGCTCCTGAACCCTAAACCCCAAACCCAATAAACCCTGAAACTTGACTTCTAGGGATACTCGAGTCTGCGGAGACAGGATCTGATCAAGAAGGAGGCATCGGCGCAGGCACAGCCAGTGGCAGTGCGATTGTCCCTCTTGTGGAACCTGTTCGCAGGGTAGCCTTCTGGAAGTCTGTTCTCTGGGCCACGGGCAGTATGGACATAATTAGAGGGCGAAGATCCAACTTTGGATATAAGAAAGGGGCCTCAATAGTTACCAATACTATTTTGGGACTTCCTTTTTATAATTATAGTATACTAGACCCCAGGATCCCTATTCTAATTATCAAGGCTCCCTACATTACTCATGTACGAAAGCCTCACAGGACTCCCGGCGGCCAGAAGCGCAGCGAGTGCGTGAGGTGTCGGAAGGGGTGCATATGCTTCTGGCAGTTCTGACATATCACCAGTCTAGGCCGAGCTGTCAGGGAGAAGAGCCTTGTTCGGGATTTCGTGTTGACGGACAGAGGGCTTTTGGTTTAGGTGATGGGGTCTTTGTGGAGCGTGCACGCGGAGCTTCCTGTGCCATTAAGCTCCATCAAACCTCCTTGACACTCGATTACTACGGCCCACCTCGACAGATAGAGGCGCTGCGTTAGTTTGGTCTTGCCGTGCGTAGACGGGAGTTCCCTCTGGGAGGCAGAGACGAAGCAGAAGAGGGTCGACGAACACATGCGAAGTGCCTGCAACCTCCACGCCCACTCCATCCTCATGTGCATGCCCTGGAGCAGTGTTCGGCTTTTGGGGTTGAGGGCAGTGTTGGGATCGTTCTGAAAAGGAGATTTGCTCCATGGGTTGTGAGCCAGATTTCGGGCTCTGGGTTTGAGGTCCTCAGTGGGGTCTTTTGTGTTGCCAGGCTCCTTTGACAAGAGTCTGGACTCTCGCGAGAACCCTCTCTGCCAAGGCTTGTAGAATTTCCTCGGCTCACCCAGGCTCCGAAACGTGGACCTTGAGCAGGACGGCCGGGACCTCTCAGGGACTTTGTATGTGCAGACACCGGGTTTCGAGCAACATTTAACGCCAGATCTCAGCTCTCAAGCAGTCGGAAGCTGCAACCCTGACAGTCGGAACGAGGCAGGCAACTACGCGCTTCGCGCACACAGCTCCACTTAGCAGTCCACTTCTTCAAACTAGATCGTTCTCAATACTCAGTGTGCCTTCATGGAGCCACCGCTGGCAGCCGGTCATGGGCGACAAAGAGAGGAAGCGATCCCTGCTTTACGGCTGCTACCTGCTGCAATCAGTTCGCAATCATCGGAGGACTTACATCGGCTTTACCATGGATCCCAGGAGAAGGCTTCGACAGCACAACGGCGAAATCAAAGGTGGCGCACGTAAGACAGATAGATGGAAGCCTTGGAACATGGTGCTATGCGTTTGGGGCTTTCCAGGGAAAGTGCTCGCTCTCCAATTCGAGTATGCTTGGCAGCATCCATCGCTTTCTCGACATGTAAAAGACAAGGTTGCCCACTTAGGCTTCTGCAAACTTGCTGGGCATGGGAAGCAATCGCCCGTGCAAGGCGTCGACAAGAACGTGCGCGTGCTCCTGGAAATGCTGCAAGCAATTCCGTACAACAGGATTCCCTTGCGGGTGCACTTTCTTGAAGAAAGTTTGTGGACAGGCTTGGAGAATATGTTCGGTGCGGCTTTGCCAAATCACTTGACATTGACGCATGGTAGCTTCGACGATCTGCAAGGGCTGTGCAAGCAACGTTTGACAATGGTCATGCCACCGGCGGGGTCTGAGTGTGCAAAATGCTCAGAGCTGCTAAAGCCTGGCGATCTTGTCGTCCATTGCCCCCACTGTGAGTGCTTGATGCACCTTTCCTGCGCAGCTACAGTTTTCACCGGCACCTCAAAGAAGCTCATGCCTGACGATCCAGCTGATTGTCTGAAGTGTTCGGTAAGTATGGACTGGCTGGTGCTGCTCCGCAACCAACGAGTCCTGCGGTCCGCAGCAGCAAACGAGTGTGAGGAGGAAAACGAGGAGGAGGAAGACGATGACTGCAACTATGCTGAGGATCATGGTGATGATGATGGTGATGGTGATGATGGTGGTGACGATGAGGGGGAAGAGAGAGAGCCGAAGGTTAGTATTGGATCAGTGGCAAAAGTCCTGTTCCGCAGAGGCGACTCAGATATGCAAGCGCTCGAGCCGAGCTCCAGTCAGATCGACTGCGTTGATTCCTTGCCCTCGTTATCGAGTCCTCCAGGCAAATCCCAGAAACAAACTCCCGTGGACCGTCCGGGTCGTGCAAAGCGGCGAGCGGCGCTGCAAAGATGTGACGGCGATGGCGGAGATCACGAGCCCTCCGAGGTCGGATCTTGTAACGATCAGAAAGCCAAGCGGACTCCGGTCAAGAAGGCAAGGACGCGGACACCTCGAGGCGCTGCAGTCTGCGCAGACGCCGCGGCGAGTTCCTCAGGTATGGCTTCAACGACAAACTCTCCCAAAGCTGACCGATGCAATGCCCATGCTTCGTCGAAACTGGCGGGTGCTAGCGCAAGCTTGAGACAGAGGCTGGCACAACGGACGGGAGATGGGTCGGCATTCTCAATTTGAGCTTAGGCAGTGATCGAAGAGCTCACTGCTTATGATTGAGGTTCCGCGAACTCACGGAAGGATGACGCTGACAATGAGGGTACGAGTTTGAGGGACGGTATCGTATTGGAATTGAGTTTACATAGTAATCTATTGCCAACAATCTTTAGTCGCAGCAACAGTGAAGCTAGCAGTGGTTAAGGCTTGTCTCTCCATGTGGCCGTCAAACTCTTGTCAGCCATGCGGCTCTCCTCGTGTCGTGTACAGCTGAGCTTGAGCTGCACCTATGATCAAAAAGCGTCAATCCCTTAAATATTCCTAGCCGGTCTTATTTGTATTCATTCCTATATTCGTGGTGGGACCCCTTCTATCGAACAACGATGCAGGGGCACTTTCCCACGAGCAGTGTCACAAACAGCCTTGCGCCCGCTGACCCACATCCATTTCCCTCAAGCTCAAGCCCACTAGTAAAAGCCATTGCAGAGTCCTGTATGCTAGACTCCAAGCCGTAAGCCCCAAAACTCAAGAACGAATGGAGCACTTTCCACGAGAACGCCTCCACGAAGGCCTAAGCAAGACCCTTCCGAAGTCAAGTGCCGCCCGACTTACAGGCGCCAAGAAAACAGAAAGGAGCACGTCTCATGAACCTCTTGAGCCCGAAAGTCCCAAAGCGAATCTACCCGAAACGCTAAACCGTAAAAGCCCAATCCCTGCACCCTGAAACCCTAGAAAACCCCAAAACCCTGAAGCTCTAAGCCCCAAACACCCTAAGCCCTAAAGCCTTGATGCCCAACACCCCAAACTCCCCCAAAACCCTAAACACCCGAAAAAGGCCCCAAACCACCCCAAACCCCCCAATGCCCCAAAGCCCCCCCAAAAAAGCCTTCCAGAAGTGCCAGAGCCGAGGCCCCGCGACCGTCTCTCGGCTCCTATCCTCGTTTGCCTTCCTCTCCATGCCAGGGGCTCTGGGAGAAACTCGGAGCAGTTCGGGTCGTGTGGGCTGCGTGATTTGGGACGCGAGTTTTGCTGAGCTTTGCGGGGTTGGGATTCGGAAGTTGCTGGGACATGAACATCACTGGACGAGTTGCAGGCGACTCACAGACACAGGAGCAGATCTTTTTCCCACGCGGAGTTCTCCAAATAGTACTCGAGAAAATCTTCCAAAGCAATTACAAATCAGGTGTAGTCGTGTGTATCCGGTCATGTGACGCATAGTGGCAAAAAGGTAGTGGCACGTGCAATCACGATGCACAGCAAGCATCTTGAAAACTCGAGCAGCAAGCAGGAGCAGCGCAGCAGTTCGTGCCCTTCGGCTCTCAAAACGAGTTCCCAAAGCAACAAGGCTTACCCCTCAACCTCAAACTCCTAGAAGGCCTGAGGCTGCCTTTCCCTGTGCTCCCAGGCACCACACGTTCAACCTCCCCGAAGGAGGCCTCGACCTTCCGGAGTCGGGGAGCCCAGCCGAGACGGTCTTTTCTTCTCCCTGCTGCTCTTTATCACTTAATACGAGACTGCTGTTGCTGCTCTGATGTTTTTTTGTTGTTGCTGTTGTTGCTGGTAACTCTCGTGACCTCCAGGGCGACCAAGAATGATGGCGACGATAACGATGTGTTTGATGCTGCTGGCGGTGGTCGTGATGGTGATGGTGGTGATGGTGGTGATGACCTTGATGATGGATGGTGATGGTGATGATGACGATGACGATGATTACGATGGTATTTTCGCGGATGTCGAACTGTGGTGATCGTTAGTGATGTTGGAGTTCATGATGGTGATGGTGATCGTGGGGACGCTGGCGACAACAAGGAACGTGACCCGAGTGAAGAAGAATATGCTGACAGAGCATCAATCTTCATGTTGATGATGATGGTGGGGCGCGTCATGACGAGGCTTCTGGTGTACTCTAGCTGGTGGTGCTGGTGATGAGAGTGGTGATGGTTAGGCTAAATTAGTATCTCAAATATACTGCGCCTGCTGGTGATGATAATGGAGGTCATGGGCACTGATGATGTTGATGCTGGTGAAGGTGACGACCACGTAGCTGGTGGTTGCGGTCATGGCCATGGTGATTCTGTTAATGCTGCTGCTGAGTATGTTAATC